CTGTAGATAAAACATAAAAACATAAAATGTAATTTTAATAGATGTATAGCTTGGGTCGTATGTGCTTCTACCGTACAAAATGGTCACACAAGTTTATGTACTGTACTAGTTTAGCTAAATTGCTACATTGTACGATACGTAAGGGACTTGTGTGTGCTAAAGTGAGGGTACTGAGTTAGGCTGAATAGCTTCCTTCCATTTGTAACCCTTCTAGTTCTAAAGTTCTACAGCTGGCTCTGTGATCTTGCTGAAAGCACTCTTGTGCCCTTGATATTTCCATGATATGCAGGGAGAATTATTTTGAAGTCGGACATCAGTCATACCTCTGCAGAGTAAGCATGAGGAAAGACCATAACCTTTTTCACAAAGGCTTTGACAAAATCAACCCTGCAGAATGAAGAGTGAAACACAAATTGAAATGACATGGCAGTGCATTTAAAATTGATAGCAGGAAGGCACTTCTAGACCCCAAGCTTTGTGGGAGTATGGAACAAGCTAGCCAAGCCATGTTGTTGAAGCTGATGCCCTGGATTCCTTCAAGAAGCAGCTGGATGAAATCCATGCATCAGTTAGCTTCCTAACTACCAAACAGGCTAAACGGGCCGAAAGATCTCATCTCGTTTGTAACCTTTCGCACAGTATGTTCTAAAGTTCAGCTAATGATTCTGAAAGCCCAGCAGTGTCGATAAGGTTAATGGGCTGAGAAAAAGAAGTGAGAGACTTCCACAACGAAATGGTTGAAATACTGTTAAAATAGGATAACATATTTCTTGAAATTTCATTATGTTTATCTCTTAATTTTTGTTTATAGTTTACTTGAATATCACATTTATTGACTAGTTCCTTATTTTAACCTAAGCTCTTATGCTTATGACTGTAAAAACAACAATTTCTGTTCTCGCTTAAAAACGTACATGGAAATAAAATAAACGAAAAATATATTTTCAACATTAAGTGTTGCATAAAGTGGAGTACTGCCTTCAGGGGAAAAAAGGAGATTTTTTCATATCTATTTGAGAAAGCACTTTGTGATGGTAAGAAGAACCTGTGTGAAATGAACACTGTATTATTTTTCAGGCTGCAGTAGAAATTCAGCATCATGTGTCAACAGCTATTTCTGTGAGTGTATGAGCTAAAGGAGCATGAATTTGTAAGGGCTCATATTATGCTTAACAGGCAAGCTAAGCAGACATATAAAATGATGCACTTTGATCTTAAGGACAGCAAGAATTGAGTAGAATATACAATAACTGTATTTATTACTGGTATTGCTTTAAGTCTTAGTTTACCTGACTGAGAATGTGCCCTCCCCCAAAAACAGATTGCATATCACTTTGAACCCAAAGTCATTTCAGAAGATTCTATAGCACTTGTACTGTATATGGTATTTGATTAGCAGCCCTGAGACTCTCCACAAAGCAAACATGCCCATGGCATTGAAATAAACTGTGCCAAAAGATTATATATGCAATATAATTATAGGTTTAGAGGTAAGAATTAAATATTATTTAATATGTTAAATTGCCTAAATAACTGATTTCCAATTTCAGCCTCAGAAAACAAGAGGAAGCCCTTGGCTAAGTTACTTAGAACGAAGGGGTCATTAAGGAAACAAATCCTCCTGTTTCATTTAAAATTATACCTGATTGTTTCAAATATTTACAGATGTCTCATTTTGTAATAGTGTGATATTCAAATGCCAGCAGAGGGCAAGACAAGACTCAAATCTCAGTGCACATCTGCAGAAATTGGCATGATGATCTGATAGTGAACCTGGACAGTGTATCAGCTCTGTATACAACAGAGAGAAGCAGCTAAACAGTCAAGGCTGTAATCAGTTTTGTAATATGATTTATGTCTATCTGAAAAAGTTTAAATTCTCTGGCTTAGGAGTTAATCACACATTTACTTAGGACCGTCATCGCCTTTGACTTTGACCTATCGAGTTTATGGTTCTTGACTAAGCGTTAGTAACACACTTGTCTGAGGTACAAGATACCAATGTGGATGTGAAATTAAGTTTTTGATCAATTGTTGGTTGCCAGAAAAAACAAAATGTGTTTTTGTTCATATTTTGGTGCAGCAAAAATTAAAGAATGGGACCTTCCACCAATCTGAAAATGTACATTATCCACCTTATCCCCCCCTAAAATAAAATAAGAAATTTAAAATCTTTAGAAAAGGCATCAGACACATGAAGGAGTGGTTAAAAAGAGGTTCAGAAGGAGCTCAATCTTGAATCTCTCTAGTGTCTGCTCTCCTATGCATATGAACGATAGACCTTACCTTCCAAATTCTCTATTTCCAAAAGTAGAGATAGCTTCTCTATTTCTGACTGTCGTTCCTTCAAATTCCTTGCACATCTCACACTTACTCTTCTAGCACAGCTGGACTAAGCAACACAACTACTATTTTCCTCCTCCAGGCCTCCAAGCTCCAGGCTTTCCAGGCTAGGGTAGGGTTGCTTCAGCTCGAGCAATCAGCTCTGCTATCTCTATCTCTTCATGCTCCATGGAAAGCAATTGGCTTCCTACAGATCCTCCTCATCTAGTTCCTTCTGATATACTCCTCCTTGGTCCCTTTCTGTCCCCCCTCTCCCTCTTTCCTGCTCTCTCTTCTTTTCCACAATCCCCACTTCATGCCCTATCTCCCTCCACCCCCACCAGTTCAGATTTGTGTTTCGTCTCTTGGCGACAGGTAGACAAGATGAATCAGGACTGCTGCTTACAGTATGTGTCAACTAATCTGCAGTTAAAATATTCTAAGAAAGTTTATAAATGAGAGGGGGGCATTTAGCTCCTTGGTTCGAGATTATTAAAGATGTTTTCACAGAGAATTTACTTAATATGTGACCCTGCATGCTACAAAACTGAAATTTAATTTCATAGTCTTTGCATTGCTAAATAATCTTCAAAGTTCTGGGTGAATGAAAATCATTTGCACTAAAATGCCTGATTAGGACCAGTTATTCCTCCAGTCTGGTTCCTCTCTTTTGTATAACATCTACAGAATAGGTTCCATGTAGTTTGATAACCAAAACTGAGAGCAGTTGCAGAAATAATTGCTTCACTTACTTTTGAAAGGCTGCATATGTTGTCAGCATATTTTTTAGTCTTCTGGGATTTGTTTTAACTGGATATGAATGTTTTTATTGCCTTATTACTGTTCTTACTGTTCTGAGCAAGTAACAAACCACTGACTGTTGATTTTTTTTTATCTAGTGATTAAATTATTGAACTGGTGGATGTCTTTTCATGGGTGTGTCCATGATGTTCTTTATATAAACCTTTTTGAAGTTAACACCATTCAGACACATTTTTAACGCAGGAATTACGACATCTGTCAGAGTTACAAACCATTGATAGACAGACTGACGAAGGCAGATAATTTTTTCTGACTTCACGGTGTAGAAAAAAAACATCTCTGACTGGAAAACATTGTCATGCTGCCATGTATCAAACCTATTCACTTCTCTCTATTGTATTTCAGGGTTTTATACCCACCTCCTTTTCTGTGGTGGAATTAAAGACAAACACGCTGTGATATATTCTGATTATTTTGATAATACATCATAATCATTTTTTTAAATTAAAAACAGCTTGTTTTGTTTGAAGGGGTGGAAGCAAACTATTAAAGAGTTTAAGAACCTTAAACATTTTGGTTCAGAGGAATTTTTTACTTGCTCAGATGATGTATGTCTGATACACCATGTGTCTCCATGTTAATAGCTTGATGAGGAAGAATTGACATTGGTTTTTGGAATCAACAAAGCTGCAACTACTATCTCTGAAGTCTTTGAAAGAGCCCGAGGCTTGATATTTTTGTGACTGCTCCATCAAGTGAACTGTCTCCTTGTGCTAATATTTAGGTCATAAATCTTCTTTTGTTCTGTCAAACATTTCCATCTTTCATTATCAAGTTCCCTCCATGTAATTGCGTATGGAATATCGTGTTGGATGCCCCACTGTGTGATGAAGTATTCTCAGTTAGAGGAGATTATCCAGCAAATGCAGATCCTTTGAAATTTTGCTGAAGCTGTTACCAATTAGCAGAGTTATTTCACTGGTTCTGAGAGGCTCTGAGGTTGATTGCTTGAAGCGAGATGTTGAGGGCATTTTTCAGTTTGGATAACATATGCAGTGTTACAGAACATATAATACTATAATACAGTGACCTGAGGTGAAACATTTGGTTTTGGTAGATTATAAGAAACACATGATGGAAAATTGTGAATGTACATGACTGAGTCCAGTGCATTCATAGCAACATTGTTCTTCTATTCAACACAAACAGAGCTCTTAATGTGTCAATGTCTGCTCAATTGAGGACAAACATATATATCAAATACTTTAATCACTCCATGTTTCACTGCATGAGTGGTTATAGTTTGGAATAAACTGTATGCTTAATGTTTTATGGAATGACGTCAGTCCCTTTTAACACATATGGTAATCTTCATTGTTTTATGTTATGCTGATAATTAAAAATACTTTCAGCATACTAAAGTGTGACCTGCAGTTAACTCAGGATGGTTCCACTTTGTTGTGATCTCTACAGAGTTTGCAAGCTTTAAATTATTTTCTGTCTAAATCCTTCCCCTGATTGAGAAATGGTGGTTTGTAATCAGCTCTACTTTGCTCAAACCAACCTCTGTGATCCTTTACCATAATAGAATGGTTATATTTGTACCTCTTGTTAAAAAGATTAAAGCTGATACAAGTGCAACAAAATGTTGGGCACACATTGGACCGCACAGACATTTATACAAGGGAGGCTGACCTTGTCAGTCATGCAGATACAGATGATAATGCAGAGTAAGACCACTCTATGTTATGAAAGGCACGGTGTTGTTAATGTGAACACTGGATCTGTAAAGAAAAAGCAGAAGGAGTCTACATGGGCAAGAGGTCCATTGAGGCCCCTTGTTCCCATTTTCCATCCTTTATTGCTGCGTCACCACTACTCTGTAGCTCACTGGCCTTGCCTCCTTGTGTTGTCAGAGACTACCGAACTGGGCAGCAGGAGAGAGCTGAAGTCCATGCCTTTCATCACCTACCTGTCGGGGCTGCTCACGGCGCAGATGCTGTCCGATGACCAGTTAGTCTCCGGCGTGGAGATTCACTGCGAGGAGAAGGGCAGATGCCCGTCCACGTGCCACCTGTGTCGCCGCCAGGGCAAAGAGCAGGTCAGCCCCATGCCTGTGCTCCTGGAGATCAGCCGCGTGGTGCCCCTCTACACTCTCATCCAGGACAATGCCACCAAAGAGGTAGGGTCACTGTACTTCCTCTGTTTTCTCCTTTGAGAGTTACCGATTATTTTGGCTAAGTTGCAGTGTCTAGAAGACATTACAAGAGCTAAGGGCCATTTTGTTTCCCAGGCATGGCCCAGGCAGGATGCCTTCTGACTGGGCCCCCTTTCATTACGAAATTCCCTCCATATAATTGCGTATTTTGTTGTGTATTATGTTGGATGTCCTGCTGTGTAATGACGTACCCTCCTTTAGAAAGGGCAGAACATCCAGCAAATTCAGAATAGCTGGTGTTGCAGTCAAGCTCTTCATTAACCTACATGTTCTGCTGTCTGACCCAATACTTAAAACTGAAGTAGAACATTTTACTTACTCCCAGGAGCTGCAGCAATTACATATTTCAAGGTACTTTAATACAGTAATAACAGTGTTTCTTGAAATTGTTGTCTTGCTGTTAAATGTGTTGAGCAAAGTTACAAGTTCAGCTAAGGGTAACTTAGTGCTCAGTTGATATCAAAAACCCAAGATATAGGAGCTGTTCTCCAAAAGACATACAGTAACACTGCCTTGATTGATTGCTGCTTGATGCATCTTACTTGTTGTCCTAGTCCCAGGAATTAAAATGACCTTCTTGTGATATATTTTTTATACAAAACGGAAGTGCAGGTTTCTGTTATTCATTCTAGTTTATTTAGAAGGTGTTCTGAAAGAGGTACGGCTAAACCACAGCATTCTGTTTCAGTGCAATGACAGCATGACCTCACTGTCACCTGTGGTTTAACCTGAGCTGTCACCCAGTGCTTGAGAATACGAACATCCATCTCCTAAATGGTGCATGACTTTAAAATCAGGGCCCTTTATATTTTTGCATTGCATTTTACTGTTTCTATGTACTTATAGTTGTTCTCTAAGACATTTATATTTCTACTCGACTCTCTTAATATGTACACTTGATGTCAGTCAGAAATAAGACTTTTTCTTGGAATTTGATTTCAAAGAAAGCATGCCAGTAAAAAAAACCTGTTTATCCAAAAACGATTTTTGTTTTGTACATCATAAACATTGACTTAAGGACAGTTAGAAATGAGAAGAGGCAGTTCTGCCCCTCTTGCTCATTTGGTAGTTGCAGTTAATTAATCCAGGGATCTCATCCAGCCATTTCTCCAAAGAAGCCAGGGTATCATTTTCAACAACATGACTGGGTATCTTGTTCCATACTTCCACAAACCTTTGTCTACAGAGGCTCCTATTCCCAGCTTTAAATGCCCTTCAAAGTTTGCACACGCATCCACTGGATCTAGTTTTGCTGCTAATCATTACATGTAATTTAAATGCAATCACCTTAAGAAACAGTGAATATTACCACTGTGAAAGATGGCAACATAATGATAAACCTTTTTTAAACATAATTAATTTTAAAACGTCCGTGCCCAGATCCCCGTCATTAAAAATCACCAATTTGGAATTGTGACAGAATTTTTCAGATCCCAAAACCCACTGCACTGATTTGTCACAAAGCATCCAATTCAGTTATTTTTGCATGGGGGAGAAACAATGTTTGTGGTATGTTTGGTGGTTCTGTGACTTGTCATTTGAGTAATGGACTTTGTGTTGAAAAAAAACATTTGATATACAGTATGTAATTACTGTTTCAGATGTTTGCACCAAATAACAACCTTAATACTGTGCACTCAAAGAGAATCAATGAAAAAAAATATTTTATAACCTTTTTATAGCTTTTACAAGCAGTAGTCAGTTGTACTCCCACAATCATTTTTATTGGCAGGCACTTGCACTTTTTTTCTCAAAACTTTATCAAGCCTGGCTTTCCTGTGCAGTTAAAGCTTGTTCCTGTAGATGGCACAGGTGATTTGGCAATCGCTTGGACAGAGCAGATGTACAGTACAGCCGTAATCCAGAATCACCAAAGGAGTCTAGACTCTAACGGTTATCCTTCATCAGCAGAAAATAAGTTATGTGTTCTTCCACTGTTTATTGCGAAATAATACATTTTGTTCTACTCACACTGCTGGTGATAGACTGTTGCATTTTCAAAGCATCATTTTCAAATGCTTTTTTCCCCTTTTGTTTTCATTTTATACCCTTAATGCATCTAATATCTTTGTGCTCTGGGTTTAGGTCTCTTGACACATATGATGTTGAGGAAGATCTTTTTAGTAAGTGTGTTGAGAGTGTTATTCAATTATTTGGGGATTCTACAGTGAGGTAGCCCTGTATTTTGTACCAACGCAGAACAACCATAATGTATTCCATGGTACCACTGTACACCCACTCTTTTGTGTGTAGAAATCATACACACAGGCTTTATCAATAACCCATCATAAAAACAAAAAGATTTACGTATAGTTAAAAAGTGTCTGCCTCAGCATAACACTGTCTCAGAGATGGAATTGTATAAGTTGTTCTAAACTGAATAATAAAAGGTGAGGATAGTGATTTAAATAAATTTTGAGTATAAAACACTAAATACTTTTTGGAATATGCTGAAGGTATTTACTTTTACATGCCCTCCAGTTTCAGGAGTTGTTTAATCAGAATGAAAATTGACTTCGAGTCATTTTTACTTGATCCCAACTGCAGTCATTTTTTGTTTCTTTTGCAAGGGAATTCTTGAAATTATAAATGTCCAATTTTTTCTTGCAATCTTAAATCCAAGTCTTTTTACAGAAACACATGTCCACACACTGCTATAGTGTGTGTCAGGACCCCTGACTCAGATTGCCATCTATCAGTTATCTGTGCGTGACTGTCAAACAACGAGCAAGCCCACTATGTCAAAAGGCCAGACCACTGCATGGGAAGTTCATAAGCTAATGGGAGTGCAGGGAAATGATATTATAACAGCCTCATCATGCATCATACACTGTGATTATGTGATCACTGTGACCATCACTTCCAGGTGCACCTGGTGCCTGATTTTCCTTGAATCCTTCAGCCAACACTTAAGTCTTTTTAAGATACTATACTAGAAATGATTGATAGTGGGACAGCTGTGAGGGCATTCATGTTAAATGCCAGTGACTACACAGTAGTGTCCACCCCACTGAGATGGCATCTGAATTAAAGGGCATTTTGTGCATTTGCTTTTACATGTCATTCCCAATTTGTAACAGATCTTCTGAAATGTAATGCTCTACGTCAAATGCTGTAGAATTTCAATTAATTTTAAGGAATGCAGTACTATCCAGGATGGCATGACTCATTCCATAACAGCAAGTGAGAACAAAAAACAAGTTTGTCATATTCTAAAAAGGTCGACCTTTTTAGTCTTCCTGTTTAGCCATTCCTTTGCATCCTTTGTTTATGAAATTGTATTAAAAAGCAAATAACTTACGTATAAACTGCTGCTGGTTTAAAGGAATTCTTGTCTCAAGAGTTATGTGAGATTTGACATGTTTATCATCCTCTAAGCTCCTGCTTAACAAATGGTATTATTTTATCCCAGGCAAGTGGCTGTAAAACCATTTGTATTTAATTACATCCTCCCAAGGGTGATAGAAAAAGCCTTTTGTACTGTGACATTGATTAATAATATTTTAAATTTTGAAAACCCAGATGAAATTAACACAGCTGTCAGGCTACAACTGGACTTAAAGCCAAACAGGAGATGGGCTTTTTATTGAAAACGTGTTCTTAAAACACCAAGATTATACCAGTTCTAGTTATGAATTTCAATACAATGGCAGGTTTAAAACAATTGCAGCTGTCCAGTTTTACACAGCAGTTCAAATGATCTTTCTTTTGTTCCAGTGCTTAAGGAAAACATCTAGTTTCGTAGTCTGATCTCATCAAATCTCAGAAACCATGCAGGGCCTGGTGAAAACTAGGATGAGAGACCACCAAGGAAAACTAGGTGGCTGCTGTAAGTGCTGCTGATAGACCAGTAGGTGGCGCTCTTTCCTCTTGGCCAGAATTTGCACTCCAATGCTGACAGGGGACACTGCTATAGGAGGTACCATCTTTCAGATGAGATGTTACACTGTGGTCATAACTACTGTACATGGTTATTAAAAATTCTGTAGTTATTAATTATGAAATGCCAGGTGATTAAAAACTGATGGGTGAAGATGTAATGTCCATGATGGGAGTCTCATTTAATCCATCAGGAATGGTTACATAACTGCATTTGAATGGTTCTGTAATCTTTAGAAGATAGAGGTTACTACAGGTAGTAATGAATGGCACTGTACCAGCTCTTGGAAAATCAGACTCCCCTGTTTTTTAATGAAAGGGCCCAGATGCCATGAGCATGCAGTCACAGCTGGGGATTCCTCCACATGCTCACCTTTTAAATATGCATGCTCAAGCACCCCCTCTCAAGAATGGCCGATAATGCTCTCTGATGCTGTTCAGGTATCTCTAGATATACCATGACCCTCATTCATATCTCCCAGGCAGATTGGAAAGTGTGTTGATAAATGAAAGTGCCTTTCATTCTTAGTCATCTGGGAACAAGGAGTTTTGGGTCACGGGAAGAACTGCTACAAAAGGTAGTGAGGTTTATTAGCTTATTATTGAAGTGAGCGACCTGAGGAGTGAACCAGTGCTCTCCTGGCTGGGGTTCTGAAGGAGCCAAATTCCATTAGCATAGCAGACAGACCGGCCTGTTATTCACTCGACCCTTGTAGTCCATTTATCCAAGGACTTCTCTCACTTCCTGAGCAGTAAATCTCAAACTATGTAGGACCACAGTTGCATAACTGTACACCATTGAAGAACATTTTTTTTTTTACGTTTTAGAGATAAATAACGAATAATAACAATGGTTTGTCTTTGTATAGCGGGGAGGGTATGTAATAAGCTAACAGTATTTGTCGGTTTCATGTTCACATCCACTTCATTTTTCCTCCCACCCCCCCCACATTCAGCGCCCCTCAATAGGTCTGTTATGGAAGCCGACAAGTATCACATTACCCACTGGAAGTCTCTGTCTATTGCCTGTAAGCACCATACAGAAGGCCAGAGATCTTAACGTTAATAAAAAAATCCTGCCAGGG